TATATATATATATATATATATATATAAAACTCTTCCCGATGAAAAACATTCGAATCGATGCTCCACCTCCTCACTCGAAACATTCTCTTTCGTCAAACGAAGAAAAGTAACGAAGAAGAACAAGAAGGAGAAGGAGAAAAAAAAAATTGATAAACGAAACTTAGCCTTACCTTTTGCACGACGAGCGGTGTGCCGAAATCCTTCCCTCCCTGAAGACGAAAACCCCAGGGGGATCCGTCGAATCTGGATAGTTTGACGTTGATCAACTGGGCCATATCACTGATATCTTTTACAGACAGCCGGATGGAAAAAAAAATAATAAAAATAACCGAATCCTCGATGAAACGAAGCGAATGAAACGAAGAAACGAATAAATTATCGATCGGTTTTATATATATATATATATATACGATTCCCTCTATTTTCCTTTCCTTTCCTTTCCTTTTCCTTTTTTTTTTTTTTTCTTAGCTACTCGTTTCGATGATCGAAGAGACAGGATATATGCACGTTGCACCGGCCACGGTTGACGTCTGCCTTGGCGAGGCGGAATCGCGCGGTTGGGAGAACGGCACGTACGTTCCTGAAGAACGCGCAGACCGGAGTAAAGGTACAACAGACTGTGAGGACGGTCAGTCGGGCAGCGGGGCCTGCCTGGCTGCCTTCCTTCCATCCGATTCGGCTCTGCCGCGGTTCTGGCCAGGGGCGGGGATAGGGATAGAGACCCAACACGCGGGTAGGAACGAGACCGCGATCCAGAATTATCCGGGGAGGGGGGTGAATGGAAAGTTCGAGGAAGAGACACGTTTCCACGGGAAAAGGAAGGAAGCATCGAGATTTATCTGTTTCGACTGTGTATCGCGGCCATTAGGTACAAGGGGCAACGATGATGCGGGAGAAGGAATCGATGGATGATTCTTTTTTCTTTCCCTTCTTTTTCTTTAATCGCGTACCGTGAAAAGTTTTCTGTCCTTTTTTCCCCCCTCTTTTCTTCTCGAACGAACGAAGCGTGCGAACGAAGCCGCGAAATTGCAGAACCGGAAACGATGCAGGGAAGTAGGCACGATGGAGAACGATGGAAGAATGCACGGCGATGGCTCCTCTCGGGCTCCGTCGCGAGGGAAGAGGAAGGGATCACAAAGGAGAAGATAAAGATAAGAGGACGTATATTATGTGTACGGGGCAGGATGGAAATATTGAGAGAGAAAAAAAGAGGGGCACGGAAGGAAATAAGGGAGAGGGGAGGACGAGAGGTGGAAGAGGATAAAGGAGGATACGTGATCGTGGTATCAGGATGGCATTCCCGACGTTTCGTTCCTTCTTTTTCCCACCTTGCTACCTTTCTTCTTCTTCTTTCTCCCGCGCCGCCGATTCCTGCCTTCGCTCCACCTTCTGTCATTGCTCCCGGTGCCGCGACCATGAAGAGAAGCACCTTGCTCGCTACACCGCCTCTACACCCATACGCTTCTTCTCTCCTCTCGATCGTAATTTATTCCGATTCTCGATTCTACTTCGAATCGATCGATTAGCTCTCTTCTTTCTTCGCGATATCTCTCAGTCTCTTTTCAAACAACTTGAAAATCGTTGTGGACAACGACTTAACAAACAAACTCCCTCTCTCGACGCTTAATCGGAATTTGCTTCAGATCGATGTGTCGATTATCTTGCTTCTTATCGCGATACGAGTTATCGCGAAAATAATTCGATCTATGCTAATTCAACGTTGATTAACCAACGTTGTATGCAACGTTCTTCGAAAATCGATCGCCAATAACCTAAACGTGGGTTGCGATGGGACGCCTTGGCTGAGTAATCGTAATCGTCGGCGTTGAAAGGTGAAAAGGGATTCGGATCGGCCGGATGAGCCTAGATTTTCGTTCCGTTCGAGAGTGGCTGCATTTTCTGCGCCGGTGGCGGTCACGAGGGCGCGAACTAGTTCGTGAATCATGCCTAGAATGCTTTACATAAATTGCTCAGGACCGACGTCACGTTCTCGGTCCCTAACCATGAGACGACTACCGAGGAGTAGGACAGAGAAAGAGGGAGGAGGAGAAGGAACGTTCGTTGGCCACGGCAGAAGTGACTCAGACTGTGGCGTACGCATGCGGTGATGGCTCAGAGGGGAACAGAGTCCCAGGAAACTCCGGAAAGGTGAAAGTATGCGGACTCATCGCGCTCGTCCTCATCCGCTATCCCTTGCGCAAACCGGGTATATCCGATGATCGAAACGAGTGGAACGATGGATGAAACGACGATGAAACATCGCCTCGATTTCGATGCCATTCCGATGATTCTCGTAATCGTCGTCCGACTTCCGATTCACACTCGGTGGAAGAAAGAGAAGATCGTCTGGGGAGAGGTCGTTATTAGGCGTTAATTCTCTTCTAATTTCGTGAATAGACGAGAGGATGGATGAATTGAGTTTTACGAAAGAAAAAAAAAAAAAAATCAATCCTTTTATTTAACGCTTAATTCGTATAACGTTTCTTGACATTGCTTTTGTGCTCGAAGACACGTATAGACACGACACGCACACGTACTTCTAATTGATTAGTTTTGTGATCGGTTTTTATACACTCTGGCAATAGCGCACGTATTCACATTGTTTGTTTATTTGTTTCTTCTTTTTTTTTTTTTTCTTTCTTTCTTTCTTTTCAATTTTTCTCATTTATCGTCGACGAGTCGATCCGATTATTCTTTGTCATCCTGTAAAAAAGAATCCTATCCTTTCCTCGCAATGTTCAGTGACTGACGCTCCGAGTACTTCTATCGTCCGGGATACTGAACGCTGGAGATTTCTAAAATGAAAGAATGATTGGGACGGTTTCAAACGTTTCGAGCTTTAGCTTAAAAAAAAAAAAAAGAACAAAGAAAAAAGAAAAATTTTTCGGATCCTGTATATCGAATATATACTCACGACCCTCTCGATTATGTCCTCCGCGGCGTTCACTTTGGCAGGCCTAGCTGGAATTCCTCTCTTCGGCTCTTTCTCCATTTTATGAATCATTTTATAGACGCTCGAGTTCATCAAGTGATCAAAGTTCGGTAGATTGGTCTTTTCGTATTTCTTAAAGTTTACTCTGCATTCGTAAATCAAAGAGAAAAAGAAAAAAGATCATTCGAATAAATTCGGGTAAAAAGATTGATTTCGAAAATAAATAAAATATAGATGGCACGTAAAATGAAAATCGTACGTCGTTACTGGATAGATAGAAATTCATCGAACGAAGGTTTAGAAAAAAAAAAAAAAAATAAAAGAAAGAAATTCTAGCTCACCCCAAGGCTCTGCCTCGAATTACTTCCGCCTGGGAAGATAAAACCTCGGCAATCATTTCGTCATTGAAGAAATCATTCGGACACCTCCATCTGCGGCCAAGTGTAAGTTCGACTTGCTTAGCCTGGGGCCAGAGATCTTGCGAACGTTTCCTCCCTCGTTGCTTCACTCTCTCCTGGAAAGAGTAGAGGGAAAGAACGGGTCGTTCTATTATCACACGATCATTTGAATTAACGTTTTCGTTTACGATCGACAGAAAATACGTTTTGTGACGCGGGATTACGAAGGAATAATATATATATGTGTGTGTGTGTGTGTGTGTGTATATATATACGTATATATACGTATATTTGTCGTTCAGGCATTTTAAGGAACGCACGAATATATAACTTCATCTTCGTGAAGTTTTTTTTTGGGAGGGGGGATACAGCGGGGGTGTACAAAAAATTATTGGTATTTTCGAAGTGCAAGTTTAACCAAAATTTTTGATATTATTTTTAAAAGAATATTTTTAAAAAGAACATTTAAAAAAGAAGAAGGGGAATTTCGGTGATAAACTTCGGTGATAGACGAGTAGAATTCTCAAAAATGCATCGATGCGATTAAGATAAGATGCGTACAGACTCTAGGATGCTAGAAGACACAGAACATTTGCGGGAACAACAAAAATTACTTCACATTCAATTTATCATTCCGTTACATTCTCTCTAGAATACCTGCAACTCCTGAATAACTTGATCTTTTGCCGATAGATTTGGATCTGGTTCGAAACTGCCTATAATACACATATCGCTTCGTTTCTGTTATCTTTCCTTAACTTTTTTTTTTTCTTAATCATCGAGTCGAAATGAAAAAAAAAAAAAAATCGAACCAACGATTGACATTTACCGTGAGAAGGTGCGGGGCTGGGCGATTTCAGAACCTTGGTCTCGTACGAGACGACGAATTTCTTCACCCTGCTTCCCTCCTCGCTCTTCACCGATAACGTCCCTTCCAGCTCCTGCGTCTCGGTCTCTTCCTCCCCCTCATCCTCGCTAGGCTGAACGATCCTCAGATGCTCGTCCGAATAGGCAGAATACGAGATATCCTCCGTGTACTCCGTCACGTCCTGTTCCTCCGTTTCCTCCGCCTCCTCCGCCCGTTCTTCCTCCGACTCTTTCCCCTCCTCCGACTCTTTCGCTCGCTCTTCCGGCTCTGAAAACAGCGAGGAACAATGATCGACGCAGAAACAGAAACAGCGGAAAGTGGAAAAAAATTGGGGGAGAATGAAAATGGATTTGATATCGATTCAGGCCTATTCGGGCACGAAATAATAATCTTAGCATACCTCGCCGCTCCTCCTCCTCCTCCTCCTCCTTCTCCTCCTTAACGGTGGCGCCGTTTTGGACACCGCTCAACTCCATGATCTTCTGCAGTTGCTCGGACACGATTCTCAGGTGATTCTCGATCTCGGTAGGGAGCTGTTTCAACGACAACAACTGCCGTTGAACGTTCTCCAGTTGCTTCTCCAGATTGATCTCCGTTGTGACCAACTCCTTGATCTTCTCTTTATCGACCTTCGCCGCGACGTCCGCCATCTCCCTCTCGATCTCGTTCAAAACGCTCTCGTGCGTCGTCCTCTCCTCCGCCCCTTCCTCCCCGCGAACCTTCTCCTCCTCAACCTTCTCCTCGGCGTTGTTGCACGCCGATACAACCGCCTCCTCCGCTCGCTCGGCCTCGCTGCTCTCCTCGGGCTTCGATTCGGCCTTCGATTCTGGCCGCGATTCAGGTTCTTGATCCGATCTGTAGCCCGGCTCCGGAGTGGCCGATGGTGTCGCCTGAATTCAGACAACAGGAATGTTGTACAGGAATTATTACATATCCTAGGGAAATGGTGGAAGGTGATGAAGTATAAGTTCAATTATTATTTTCTCGTGCAGCAAGGTAAGTTTGGGGATGCATACCGGAGAAGAAGAATTATCGTCCTCATCGGTCGATGAAATGGGTATGCGCTTCCCGTTTTAC